TAATTTTTATAGCATTCTTTACTAACCTATCTTTTTTGTGCTTCTACGACACATAAGGTTTGCAATTTAGGTTGTCCGTTCATAATAGTTTACTAGCATAGCTACGTTCCTTGACAGAATACACCCTCCCATCCACTTCCTCATAACCCCCCCCCCCCACCCCCCAATGAAAAACAGGCTTTCCCCATAACCCCCAGCAAACACTCTCCCACCCGCTTTTTCCCTAACCCCCCCCCCCCCCAGCAAACACCCTCTGACCCACTTTCCCCCTAACCCCCCTCCCCCAGCAAACACCCTCCCACTCACTTTCCCCGCACCCCTCCCCCCTTTCAGGAAACACCCGCTTTCCCCATAACTCCCCAGCAAACACCCTCCCACCCACTTTCCCCCCACCCCCTTCAGGAAACACCCTCCCACCCGCTTTCCTTCTCCCCCAGGAAACACCCTCCCACCCACTTTCTCCCTAACACCCCCCCCCCCCAGGAATTACCCTCCCACCCACTTTCTCCCTAACACCCCCCCCCCCAAGAAACACCCTCCCACCTGCTTTCCCCATAACCCACTAGTAAATACCTTTTCACCCGCTCTACCCCTAACCCCCTAGGAAACACCTTCCCATCCGCTTTCCCCATAACCCCCCCCCCCACCCCCAGGAAACACCCTCCCACCCGTTTTCCCCCTAACCCCCCCCCCCCCCATGAAACACCCGCCCACCCACTTTTCCCCTAACCCCCTCTCGTTGACAATATTTACTGTCTTGCCCTCCCTTTCTTATTTTATAGATATCAAATAAATGTTGAATCACAGCACTCAGGATACTCCCATAAGCGCTCCGTCCCCATCTTCAGCAGCAAAGGAAGAGTTGAAATTCCGATGGTAACAGTAACAGTCTGATTGTATATCCGTCTCGCCTTTCCCCTGAGTGTCGAGCGTTGGCCAGATTCCCTTGTAACTCCTCACAGTGCTATTCTCCTCAGATCGTAATGATCTATGTGTGCCTCGACACTGTTCTCTCGCTCCGAAAGGGCCCTCAAAACATCCAGCTTGTCATACATCAGTTCACCACAAAGGGGTGCAGAACCAGCCAGTCTATATGCTTACTCATTTCCCAACACACTGGTATTACCTGGATCAAATAGATACCAGAATCATTTGTGTATCAATACATAAATATACACACACGCGCGCGCGCGCACGCACACACATAAAAAAGGTTAGTTGCGTGTCCTTTACAGGACGTTGCAGAACCAATCCCTACAGCCACTGGCTGTTGTGTGGTTTTTCTAGGCACATTACGTCCAGTAGTTTGCAATTGGTGCCGTCTGTGGCTAATGTGTTGCGAGTCCGACTCGTAATCCAACGTACCGCGATCGAAACCCACTGCGGGCTGCATGGATTTTTATCTGGTATGGGACGTCGCAGATCGACCTAGCCTAGAATGGGCACCAGGATGGGCTGTCCTGGGAAAGTAAAGACAGCCGGCGTAATGCTGACCTCATTACCCACCGAGTGCTGATGGTTTGTTAAAATATGGGCGCTCTTCCCATATGCCCAACACGCCTAAAGGCGTGGAAAGGGATCTTTACCTTTTGTCGGCTCTGTGGCTAAGTCGATGCGAACGCTTCGCTTCGTAATGCCGGAAAACCGGGCAAACTACTGGACGTAAATTTGCCAAGAGAAACCAGACAACAGCCAGGGGCTGTTAGGGTTGGTTCTGCAACGTCCTGTAAAGGATACGCAACTAACTTAGTTTGCCACTGAATTCTGGACAGTCGGCTTTTTTTATTCTACTGTCAAAACCAACGCAAGGCGCATGGCCCGCAGCTGGGATCGAACCCGGCATCCCTGCATTACGAAGCGTTCGTAACGACTTAGCCACAGATCCGACACACACACACACACACACACATATTTATATATATATATATATATATATATATATATATATATATATATATATATATATATATATATATATATATATATATTAGGGCTGTACCGAATAGTGATTTCCACTATTCGGCCGAATACGAATAGCTGGACCAACTATTCGGCCGAATACGAATAGTGAATCATCATCATCATCAGGTGGCATGGGCGATTATGCATCGTCACAATCTGCGACCTCCTGCAGTATGTATTGGTTCGTGTGCTGACACAACTCCATGCCACGCAACAATACTGTCAAGAATCTTCTCTCGTTGTCTTACTCTATCCCTCCTTTCACATATCTTTCCAGTGGTCACCAGATGTTCCCTTTTCCCTCATCTTTTAACATGGCCTAAAAATGATGACTGTCTCCTTCTGATTATGAGTAGATATCTTCGGGCTTCCGCCTTTTCAAAACCTCTTGGTTGCTTTTGTTGTTGTTGCTGTCCAAGGTATTTTAAACATTGTTCTGTAAAACCACATCTCTGAGGCCTCAAGAAATTGTTTGACCTGCCTACCGACTGTCCAGGACTCACAGCCAATTTTAAAACTGGATGTATGTAGCAAGCAAGAATTCTTTTTCAAACCATCAATGACAAAGATATATTGCATAAGATGTTCTTCATTTTATAAAATGGCTAAGTCGATACGAACTCTTTGTAATGCCGGGATGCCGGGTTCGATCCAAGCTGCGGGCCATGCACCTTGTGTTGGCTTTGACAGTGTTATCAAGATATCCGACCGCCCAGAAAGCAATGGCAAACTACTGGACGTAAATTTGCCTAGAAAACCAACACAACAGCCCCTTGTTGGAGTTGGTTCTGCAACGTCCTGTAAAGGATATACAGCTAACCTGCCTGTCCTATTCTGTTTCTTATTTCAGTAATGCATCATCCATCTGATGTTATCCATGTGCCAAGATACCTACATTTATGTACTTGTCCCAAAATAAAACCATTGACTTTTATTACACATTTAGGAATAATTATTTTATTTAATACCACCATTACTTCTATCTTCACACAATTCAAACGGAGGCCCATTCTTCCACTTTCGAATAGTGTATAAAATAGATCTAAAAAAACACATCTATAATTTCAAGTCTACGCTGAAATTTTACTTCACAAAATTTAGTACAGAATAGTAAACATTTAAAAACATTTCATGTTGTGCATCCTTCAGTCAGTCAGTCTGTGGTAACTAATGTATAGGAATGAAAGTATTCTTAGTTTTATAACAAGTAACAAACTTGTAAATTGTCACTGACAGCTTAGTTAATCCATGAAAGCGGCATAAGCTTTAAAAAAAAATGGTTCCATGTTGTCAGCATTAAGGCAGCTTCTTGTCTCACTGAAGGTATTTCCAGCTGTACTAAACAGACGGTCACTTGGTACGATCGTAGATGGTGCACAAAGATAATGCTTGACAGTATGTACCAAGGTGGGAAATCTTGAAATGTTTATTTTCCACCAGTCCAGAAACGGGTGTAAGGTAACCACAATTCGTATTCGGCCCGAACGCAACTATTCGGCCGAATACGGAATAGTTATTAGGTCATCTATTCGGCCCCGAAGCGAAAACGAAGCAAATATTGCAATGCACAAGAACAGGTATAACGATACACAAAAGAGGTATAACGATTCACAAAAAAGGTACAGCGATACACAAGAACATTCAGGCCTATAACGATACACAAAAACAGGTATAACGATACACAAGAACATATATAACGATTCACAAGAACAGGCAGACCTATAACGATACACAAGAACATGTATAACGATTCACAAGAACAGGTAGGCCTATAACGATACACAAGAACATTTATAACGATTCACAAGAACAGACAGGCCTATAACGATACAAAAGAACAGGTATGACGATACACGAGAACAGGTATAACGATACACAAAAACAGGTAAAACGATACACAAGAACAGGTATAACTATACACAAGAACAGTTATAACGATATGTGGGGAAAAGAACTAAGGGCTAACTAACTGTACTATCAATGGTGGTGGATAATGACTACTAAACGTAAAATTGCCTAGTAAAATGACCAAATAGTCAAGAAACACTGGAACTGGCCCTGCAATGTCGTGTAGAGTAGCAGTAGTATTTTCTTTTAAAATATCCTGTTGAACCCTCAAGGTTATGACTGGTATATACATTGTATTAACTGAGTTCTCAGAGTATATATTTGTTATTTTAAATTGTTATCTTTTGTAATATTTTATTTGACTAAAATGCAACTAACCTTTTTCAAAGATGTGGTTTTATAGACTAGTGGTGACAAAATCATGGGCATATAAAAAAAAATGGTTAAAAAACAAAGGATTTGAAAGAAATTACCATACGAAGAGAATTGACGATTACCTGCATTGGTGGTGGTGGAAAGGGGGGGGGGGGGGGGAAGAGAGAGAGAAAACCTATATTCTTTAGTCACCTTCTCCGCGTTCATCAGTTGTAAACTCCAGGGGGTGGGGGTATTTTAATGTCCACCTCCATATCTGCATTCTTTAGGATTGAGATCTCAATGATGAGAATCAAAAACCTACATATCCCTCAAACCTGGTTCAACTGGATAGCCATGTAGCAAATTAATATTAGAACATCACAAAACCGTTATGGAGTAGTCTGTGGTCAATCAAGGCAGAAGCAGCAGAAGCAGTGGGTAAAAAGTAAGTGGAAAGAAGGACGTCGTTTAACTCCACCAGGACCCCAGAAAGAGTGATTCACACCTGATAACACAAATTGCCACCGTTCGGATGAGAATCCCCCATGCACAAGTTCTAGAAACGTCGCTAAACATTTAGGTTATATTGGGGCCCCTGATGATAGCCGGGGTGGGGTTTTAAAATAACACAACATTGCGTGCCATACTACTGGGACGGAGTTAGTGGGTTGGAAAGATTCTGTTGTTCGGTCACTTTTGGACGTTGATCTTGTTCTAGGGGTTTGCACGCACATTCTTTTTACAGATCTGGCTTATTTGTATGCACTGTTGGATCCGTGCCTCCCAGATAGATGGGCTCCTGTTTCGAAAGAAACGCTAAAAAATTAGTCGACTCTTCACCAGTGTCTTTGTACGCACAAACTCATTATTGGACGGGTTGTACACCACATCAATGACACGTGTCTTACGTGTGATTGCTTCACCGCCCCAGGAGAAGTTGCCATGATCCTGTCGAAGAGCCTTATACTTCTTATTTCCACCCATTGTCCTCACTGTGTGAATTCTTTTGGCTCCGAGCTTGGTGTGTGCTGGTGGGCGTCCGAGTTCGTACTTTCTCTTCTTCCTCAGTACTGCCATACGGCCACCTGTGGCCCTGCGCTTGTGCCATTTGTCTCTTGAGATATCCATGATGGCTGGTATTAGAAAAAGGAAAAATTCTTTGCAAGAGAGGTAACTTCAAGTATAGTAAATTTTAAATATATAATGTTATCTTTACCCTCAGAGTCATAATTGTGAAAGGGGTTTCTGGGACTTCTCCATTGGTGATCCTCACCTGCATGTTGGCACTTTGTGTCACCGGGTGTTTATCGCTTTTGTGATGTCCAGTGGGGTACAACAAGAGAGATAGAGATAGATAGATAGATAGATAGATAGATAGATAGAGAGAGAGAGAGAGAGAGAGAGAGAGAGAGAGAGAGAGAGAGAGAGAGAGAGAAATGCCCTCACCACGAAGGGGACGGAGAGAGCAGGAGTTACGCCCCATCTGCTTATGTTGACGGCCCAGTTTGATTTCCGCTGCTGACTTCTGCTGATGTGTGAACCTGTTGGAGTACCACAAATCGGTTTATTCTCTTCTTTTATAACGACGCCAAGCTTCGCCGTATAATTGTAAGTATTATTGTTGTTTACGATGAATAATTAGTTGTTGAATGTTTCTACCAATGGCTGTATTGTTTGCATTTTTGTTTTGTTATACCAGAAACAAAAGTGTGCCTTCGTTCTAGTTCTAGTTGTGGCGTCACTTTAAGCGTTGCGAGCCCGACTCGTATTTCCAACCTACCGCGATCGAAACCCAACTCTGGCTGCATGGGTTTTTATTGTGGTATGGGGCGCCGCAGGTCGACCCAGCCTACAATGGGTACCAGGGTGGTATGTTCTTTGGAAGTAAAAACTGCAGGCGTAATGCTGACCTTTTGGTCTGTAAAAAAATGTGTGTGCTCTTTCCATATCATATGCCCGATGCACCTAAAGACGTGACAAGGGATATTTACTTTACTTTCGTTCTAGTTCGTGTGTTGCGAGTTGTCTGTGTGTAGACTACACTGTAGTTTGTGGCCGATCAGTAAGCAAAGTTGAGGTTGTGGATGCTTTCTTTAAGCGATAGGGTGAATGTCTGTAGGGTTATTTTAGTTTACAGTGGTTCCCAGAGTGGGCTGTACCGCCTCTTTCTCCCTGGGGAAATAATCAGTGTTTTCACTTTGCTGTATATTATATTCGTTGGTCAATTCCGGTCTTTTGCATTTAACCAACTTAATGATACTGCTCCAGTGTGACCATACACTTACAACTTATGCGACCTAGGACTGTCTGCACTTTAAGCACTTTAACCACAAAAATAAGTGTAGGAAATAAAGATAACAACATTAATAAGGTCACAAAAGTTCCTAGAATTGATGCAGTAGAGTACATTTTGTGTATTTTCCCACATTGTTTACACTAATTGTATGTACATATCTGTGTAAACAAGGAAATCCTGTAATTGCATTGGTGGTCATGAATATCAGTGGAAAAATAACTTTAATTTTGAACCAAAAAACCCTCATATGATCTTGCAGCATTAGACACAACATCTACTTATCATGGATATAGATAAAAAGAGCAGTAAGACAGGGATGTGTTCTATCCCAAACCCTTTTCAGTTTATACAAAACATTTTTAAACAAGCTGGAGAATTGCTAATTGCTTGGACTGAATATCAGTGGAAGAATAACAAACTATATGCTTTCACTGCAGGGCATCATTTTCATTGTTCTTGTCTATAAAAACACTTTGTCTCTGTAATGCCAACCTGATTCCCTTCTGTATACTGGCATTGGCTGCACATAGCTCTTAAAAACTAAACTATTCTTCTTCTCATAGTAGATACCATGTGGCGTTGGTAGTCACATCTGTCCACAACCTTCTGTCCTCACCTTTAACCTTCTGAACTAATAAAGGACACATTTTCACATCATTGGCTGGTGCTGGACCTATTCTTTATGTAATAATATCTCATCATTTTGTTTTCTGTAAATGTTCTTTATTGTTGTATAGGGCGTCATAAACCAGTGAGAACAAAAAAGCAACAAGTTATTAAAGATGAATTTTTACAAACATATCAAGTGCACCTCTGTATATACATTCATAATACTGTGTCACTGCATAGTCTAGCATCTACCAAATCCATTTCTGAATTGGACCAAATGCAGCTGTAGCCATTTGTATAACTCCATAGATCGCATGCATTTTTTTTTTTCATTTTCTTAAATCTGTACTGTGGAACTTGCCACATGTTAGATATTATTCCTTGTTTGACCAAAGCGCTTTTTAGTGTTCTGTACTCTTTCAGTTCCATTCCTTTCTGTTGCATAGCTTTACTACACATGTTCTAGTTGTTATGATGTATGTCCTAGTTGTTAACTGTATGTTCATGTGCTAGTTGTTAACTGTGTATGTTCATATCATATTTGTTACCGTGTTTGTTTATGTCCTAGTTGTTAACTGTGTGTATGTTCATGTCCTAGTTGTTAACTGTATGTTCATGTCCTAGATGTTAACTGTATGTTCATGTCCTAGATGTTAACTGTATGTTGATGTCCTGTTGCTACCATGTATGTTCATGTCCTAGTTGTTAACTGTGTGTATGTTCATGTGCTAGTTGTTACTGTGTATGTTCATGTCCCAGTTGCTACTGTGTATGTTCGTGTCCTAGTTGTTATTGTGTGTGTTCATGTCCTAGTTGTTACTGTGTATGTTCATGTCCTAGTTACTACTGTGTATGTTCATGTCATAGTTGCTATTGTGTATGTTCATGTAATAGTTGCTACCATGTATGTTCATGTCCTAATTGTGATTGTTTGTTGAGACCTTAGTTGTTACTGTCTGTGTTCATGTCCTAATTGTTACCATGTGTTGAAGTTCTTATTGTTACTTTGTGTTGAGGTTCCAATTATAGCTATGTTCAGGTCCTGTTTGTTACTATTTATCAGTTTCTGGGGTTGGATGATATGTACAAGAAAAGTTACTAGTGCGATGAATTTGTTTAAAGTGAGGAAGAGTTGCACAATTTCATTGACCTCACTCTTTCGCCTGTATCCATCTGAATCCAGTGGTGATTTAAGTCCTAGATATAGCTATGTATGTTCACATCCTAGTTATATTTCTTTGTGTGTGTGCCTTCCAGTCCTGGTTATAGCTGTGTGTGTTTAGGTCTTAGTTATAGCTGTGTGTGTGTTCAAGTTCTGTTTGTTCAAGTCCTAGTTATAACTGTACGTTCAAGTTCTAGTTATAACTACATTCAAGTCATAGTTTTAGCTGTATGTGTTGAAGTCCTAGTTATAGCTATGTATGTTCAGCTGTGTATGTTCAAATTCAAATTATAGCTTTTCATTCATGCCTTTGTTATAGTTGTGTAGGTTCAAGTCCTAGTTATAGCTGTTTGTTCATGCCTTTGTTATAGTTGTGTATGTTCAGGTCATCATTATGGCTGTTCATTCTCTATGTACAGGATTGTATGTTCAGGTCCCATTTATGGCTGTTGGTTTTTTCCCTAGGTATGGCTGTGTATGTTGAGATCCTAGTTATAACTTTTCATTTCCTAGGTCTAGCTGTGTATGTTCATTTCCTAGTTATAACTATTTGTTCATTTCCTTCTTATAGCTGTGTGCATGTCCAAGCTTTAACTTTTTGTTCATTCCCTATAGCTATGTATGTTCAGGCTCTAGTTATAGCTATGTATGTTCAGGCTCTAGTTATAGCTATGTATGTTCATTCCCTATAGCTATGTATGTTCAGGCTCTAGTTATAGCTATGTATGTTCAGGCTCTAGTTATAGCTATGTATGTTCAGGCTCCAGTTATAGCTGTTTAAGTTCAGGCTCTAGTTACCGCTATATATGTTCAGGCTCTAGTTATAGCTGTGTACGTTCAGGCTCTAGTTATAGCTGTGTACGTTCAAGCTCGTTATAGCTTTGTATGTTCAGGACTTAGCTTTATGCTTATGCCCTGGCTAAAGTTAGTTGAGTCATTGCTGTAACGCTGCATGGCTATAATTATTGTGCTGTAGTAGTTTAGGATTTAAAAAAAAAAGTTAAACAAACATGACTAATGTCCACCACACTTACACATGAAGGCGTCATGCGGTACTGGTTTATCTCATATGCTTGTGACAGCTTTCCTGTGTGTTGTCTGCTGTGTAATGTCATGACCTCTTCATTGTTGCCCAAGTGCTGTCTATTGCTTTTAGGGAATTTTTTTAACGTCGTGCTTATAACCATGTGGCACGCCGATAAGCGTTGACAGTCACGACTCGCCTTTTCCCACGAGTGCCTGTTTAGAACAAGCGTTGTCTATGTATGGGTTCTGCGATCACAGTTTTAATTGAGGGGAGGGATAGAGCTATTAACGAGCATGTCCTAAAAGGCGACTTATTAAGAGCTGAGATTTATGTTTTTGGTTACAAGGAGCAGGCATAGCAGCCAAACTGCCAACCGCCTTTTTAGGGGCAGCTGAAGAAGAGGAAGCCAATAAAGGTATTCTTGTTCGGATTCTGTCATGCGCCGTAGCCACCCCGTTATTATCTCTGCCTTTCGTTGGCTCTTTTTCCAGCAAGAATACTAGCAGTCACCTGTCAAATTAGGGGGGAAAAATGGAGAAGGGGGGGGGGGGCGCTCTGTCGCTAAGTTGATTAGCCATTTTTGCATAGTGTTCTGAAAGTCGTAGGTTCACTTTACGGACTGCGTTTTAGGGTTCCTGAGTGCATTGTTCACGGAGACATTTGGGGATAATGGCTGGAGCTGCCGTGTACGACTGTAGATAATTGGTTAGCCATTCTCTAGATCGATATGTAGGTAATTAGATAGACAGACATATAGATAGATAGATAAACAGACAGACAGACAAAGAGAGGGAGAAAAAATGAGCTAGGTTGAATAAGTCCTGCTTTTGACTTTACACTGTTATCGATTCTCTCCCTCTCTCTGACACACCCACACAGTCTCTCTCTCCCCCCCCCCCTTTCCCATCCTCCCATCTACGTATTATTTCTCTGAACAGCTTAAAGTATTCAGCAGTCTTGAAGAAGTTTCTTATTCGTTTTTCGTTTCACACATGGCCGTCTCTGCATATTTTACATAGACAGTTCTGCTTATCGGTGTGTCTGCTTGTTGTTCATGCTTCTCATGCATGCAACTTTATACGCTCTGTCTAGTACAATCATCTGGTTAATGTGTTTTTTTGTCAAGACGTTTGTATTGTGTTCTTTATTTGTTCAAGGCAGTTGTAACCGTTCTTCTGTAAACCGTCTCTACAGTTTGTCACAAATCTGCTAAATGGCCATGATTCACACCCACACCTTCATTTGCCGGACTGCTCAGACCAGCAGCCAGTCAAAACTTTCTACTCTGCTTTGCCTGTTATCAAGTTCAAAACCACCCAACATCAGGGCTTCCAATGCTGGTTTTTTTTTCTTCCAGATCTGGGTTTTTATTTGACGCCTGAGGGGAATCAGATTTTTTTTTTTAAATATATCCTTATATAAAAGTGGTAAATGTTTCGTTTCGTAAATATAAATTGTGTACGTTTTAACAATCTGAGTTTTTTTGTTTGTCTATGTATTGCTTGGGTTTTTGTTTAGCGAAGCTGGGTTTTTAAAAAAAAAATCATTGGCAGCCCTGCCCAACATACCAACTTAGGGAATTAACCATAGTCCGCGTAGCCAGATCAGAGTGTATTTACCAGTTTAAATGCACATGTAAAGCTGGATATGTGTGTCTAACTTATCTACGGCTGAAGAAACGAGTTGCTGAGCATATTTCACTGTGGTTAGAGAAGAGCACTAGAATATACAAATAAGATTAAAAACTAACCACCAAAAGTAAACACAACTAGGGTGACGAGTCGGAAAAAAAAAACCCTATCCCTCGTCCATTGCCCGCCACCTTTTGAACTCTGGCTGCAGTGCAAACAGGCGACACATTTCGAATTCTGTAGACATCGACCAGTCCTAAGATCTCTTGATGAGACCAGTATTAACTTAATTATTTCCGTCTAGAATTAGGTAAACGAAAAGACAACACTGAACCTGCCCTCGTCCCAATAAACCAGGTAGTGAGTGGGATTTAGGAGTGATTGATTACGTATTTTAGTTGTAAAGGATTCATTTTTGTTGGTCTCAGTATATTCAGTTGACATGTACTGAGATGCAGTGAAATATTCCAAACAATACATTGTGCAGTCCATTGCATGTGCCTGATTTGTTCCAATTTACAACGGGGAAACATTGTCTTGGTTTATCATAATGTTTAAAGTTACAGTGTTAGCGCATCTTATAACATCTGCTTCCACTGTGTACTGCCTGTATCCTACAACTTCTACAGTTCTCCATTTGGTGTCCCTAATCTAAATGCCCCCACCCCCAAAAACTTCTCTCGTCGATATATTTATCGAACTACACGATTGCCGCCCTACCCATCCCGTGTAAGAATCGCGGAGCGACAGTAGGCGTTATGAAAGTAGGTCAGCTTCCCCAGGAAAACGACGGATTCACTCCTCGAACTGAGGTAGCAATTATTGCTCGGGTTGGATGGCCTCGGTTCTAAATTTAGAACCATTCGCGAGCAGGTTTGTAGTTTGAATACATATTGTACAACTCACGGATACAGGCGCTGAGTCAAAGTCGGCAGTTGCCGCCCAGGGTTTCCGTGAATGTGTTACAGATGTCAGAATTATGGGGAGACAAGCAGTTAGTTCTAATCCTCGTGAGTGTTAAGGGCTGTATTGTGTAGAGGGGTAAGGGGGATGGGCTCACGGCCTCCTGACAAGGTGACAGATTAAGAAATTGCTGAAA